AAGTGCTCTGTGCAGAAATATACGTGTACCTACTGAAGTACTGGCTATACAGAGTAGTAGTATTTTACGGCTTCCTTGCTCACGCATGCATGTTCAGATCTCGGGTTTTATTTAAGAGACACCTTTTACTTCACATATTTACACAAAAGTCTTCAGATGAATCTCAAGTTCGGTTAAGGCTCTAGACTAGTCAGAAGTCCTACTCACAGCCCGAAAATCACAGATGGCTTGCAAAGTCAATTTATATGGTACGTATAGGTATGCTTAAGTCAAAAGATGTATAGTTCATGCTGATCTGTCAGTGCCACAGCCTCAACCTCCCTTTGCCTCTGAAGTGTTGCAAGGATTTGTAGGAAGAGACAAAGTCCCACTAACATAAAGCAATTACGATCTAAAAAGACACAGAAAAATATCTAAGAGAAACTACCCTGCTCTTTCCTATAGAGAAAAACCAGAAACACAACAGAAGAGGCAGTGTGCCCAGATCATGCAGGAAGCATGGGATAGATGTCAGGAGTGAACTCAATCCAGTAGTTCAAATCTTATCTTTTGAATCTACATTGGAACAAGGCTGGCATCCTGTTATTCCTGGTATCCCTCCTGAAGTAGCTGATCTGAGTATCTTCCCTGCCACCCCTCTTCAGGGAGGCCTCAATAACCTTCAGTCATGTGAACAGTATTAAGATCCACTTGTTACATTATTTTTTGGGGCAAGAACATGATTATGGAATTAGTGATGAGGGAGATCTGCAATGAAAGACCAAATTGAAGTTATGCTGTCATTTGCTATGGGCTTATTAAAGAGTTTGGTTTGATATATAATACTGCAACTTACCATTAATAGTGCAGGTAAAGATGTAAAATAATAATGGTAATTAAAATGAACAATGCTATTTTTGTCCTTGCCCACCTCTAACTTCTCCGAAATACACAGATCAAGAGAAAGAAAAATCAATCCTGTATTACAAACTCTGACCTTGTTGACAAGTTTTCCTTTGTGTTTTCCCCACTCTACTAAGCACATTTACAATCTTACTACCTTTATAATTATAAATTTAACAGATGGGAAAACAAATAAGAGATGAAATGAAATCAGTGGCCACAGTGAGAGTCTGACAGGCACCCAGAAGTCAACATTCAAATTGTGGAAGTAACTCTGCTTTGCTAAACAACCAATATGCTCTGTAAATGTACTTGCTGCCTCCTCGCCTCCAGTAACACAAAAAAGGAACCTTAAATAGCAACAAGAAAGGATTGCATACAGCACCGTGGGAGCAGAAAAACAGCAAAAGACAGTACCCACATCTAGTGACATTTGGGATAAATCAGAAAGCGCTATGCTCCATGGCAGGAACTATAAGAACTCTTTTGCCATTACAAAGGATCGATAGCACCGCACTGCTTCTCTCTCTGTATCATTTGCAGGTGCTTGTAAAACACAACAGAATTGCAAGAGATGCCAGAAGAGACTAACCTTATCAAAAACATCCACAGAGTCAGATCATCTAGACACTCTGTCATGCAACAAATCTAATTCTAACAGAATATAGTAATATGTTGTTCCCACTAGAGGAGCGCTACTGATTGCTTAGGAACTAAATTAGAGAAGGTCTAACCAAAGGTGTTCCAAAACCCATGGATTAAATACAGAGTAAGATCTTTCTGCTCTTTAAAAAAAATAAAAAGCTATACAATTCTGTTGAACTGCTAAACAAGGACATAATTATGTTCCGAGTGGTAAGCATTGTTGCAAATATTATGTAGAAAAGTTATTACTGTATTTGGCAAAGTTTCTGTACAATACAAAACAAGCATCCCTTTGCCAGCTTCTGGTGTTTCATCACTCGGGAACCATTCGTGGCTATCACTTCTGGCATGTTCCTCCTGGTGTCTGTTCCATCTGCCCTATCCTACTGCTATGTAATGCATCTTAAATTAGCTAGCTTTCTTCCTACGCACAGCAGATCAGCAGCAGCGAAATATGTCAAGTAAGAAAATAAAACAAATACGCGTCTTCCACGCAACAATTTCTGTAATGACTGTGCCTCATTATGGAATTGGCACAGCTCTATTCCACAGGCTTGGGCTATTTTTTTTCTAGAGAGAATGAGACCAGAGGAGCAAACAGAACACCACTAGTTCTGCCTTTGAGTCTTTATGCGTGCCGAGCATCCATCGAAATCACACCTGGTATTTTGCACACAAAGACAACACGGTTCAACCCTGGTAACAAATAAATATTGGGTGCTACACTGTCTCTACCTGACTAATAAAATGTCATAGCTTTACATATATTCCACTTAAAAATCAGCTCCAAGTGCTGTCAACCGAAACATTTGCTTGCTTGGTTTCACCCTGAATGAAACAGTAATACCTGACAGTATCTACTTTTTTCTCTTGTAAATGTAGGTGAACTGTGAAGACCTTGTAAGATATTAATATATGTAATTCAGGTTATGCAGTTTAAAAAAGAAAAAAAAAAAAAAAAGAAGGGTAAAAAGATACTGACACTGTGCATAGTTCAAGATATGAGAAAATCCACCCTGGAATTAATTTATTGCCTTACCACCCTTCAGGTGCATTTGTTTCAATAAAACATACTCTTCCTGCTACGAGCTTGATTTTCAGCAACAGTGTGGACTCACTACTGCACATACAACTACACACACTTTACACCTCTTGCTTGCAAAACAGTACAATAAAGCACATTGAATCAAAGAAGTGTCACCTGTGAAACTTCAAAGTGCTTTTGTTTCTAGCACAGGCTCATCACTGAGGAATTTAACTACCTCCCGCCCAGAGCTAAAATTTTAGAAATCACTTGGTTACGGCATGGTCAAAGAATTCATTACAAAACAATACAATTCTTTGCAATTTCCAAGGCAAATTAAAATATTAAACAGAACAGATTTCCACTGTAGGATTGCTATTTCACTTAAGAACTTTATTGAATTACTCTTGACTTCCAACCAGCTATTCTTGATTCCTATTTAAAGAAAAGAAGATTTTTACAAAAGTGAGATTTGCATGTTTTGTTATCAGAGCTGGGATAATCAAATATTATCGCTCCAAACAAAGGGGAGAGGAGCACTCATAAATTCTGGACTGAAGGTTCAGGGCAAATGCTAACAAACTGCTACCCTATCATCTGTGGCTGCAGTCTGTGGGTAGATACTTGAACTATCCCTGTGTGACATTTATGTGGGCACAGTATCAGAGCCTTTCTGCATTGCTGAGCTGGGGGAAGAGCTACTACCTCTCACAGTGAAGAGACAAGACCAGAGCGGGGGAAAATGAGCCAGCCAGTTGGAGCAACTGCAAAGTTTATAGCACACAGGGTACCAAGGAGTCAGCCATACAAACCCATGAAAGCCACAGGCACATCCTTACTACCCTATGTGCCACAGGAATGCTGTTGGGGAGGCAAGCTACACTTCTTGCAAGCATATGGGATATCCAAGCTATAACCAAAACCATCTTCTTTAAAAGCACAGACCCTCTTTACCGTGGTGACAATCTCCATCTGCAACGCACAGCTGAGTAGTCCATATCGCCTCCAGCAGATGGTAAAGGTAAGCATTTGTTACCATAGTTCAAGTAATCTTTTCCCTTCCCTTCAAGGTTCCTTACATTTGGCACTTGCCTGTGCTCCTGGTGAGTTCTGCCTGCCCACAGATCCAAGCTAGAGCTCCTCCATGCAGCACAGCAAAGCATTTTACACACAGCAGTATTCCCTGCAAATGCCAAGGAGCAGTGGCATTGCCAATGCAGGAGGCACTTTGCACAAAGCATGTTTATTAGCTGTGACACAGAGCACAGCATTTGCAAAGAGCTAAGGAAGAAGACAGCTGCTGCAGCTCCCCTAATTACCTTTCCCCAGACATCAACAGTAATTTACAATTTGGATGATGTTGCTGGAACTAAGTACGATCTAGATCCACACACAAGCTCTCCTCCTCACTTTTATAGGCCATGTGTTATAGGAGAATTACAACTATTCAAACTGTTTCTATGAGTTAGGTTATCTCCTGTCAGGTTTTTTATTGCACATTCTTCTTTTGCTACTGGAAAACACAGAATTTGCTGTAGACAGTAATCAGATAATCACATCTTGTTACAAGCACAAGCCAGCAGGACTTGCTATTAGAAACTCTCTAATCTATCACATCAAAACAAAGAACATTTGTGATGCTTAGTAAAAATTATGCTTCTTAACACACATTTCACAGCAGAAGTAAAAAATAAAAATTAAAAAAAATCAGTATATAGAAGAGGTAGAACATTAGCCTCACATATATGCAAATTCCATTCTAAGTTACTCCACTACTGTAGCATTTAGAAATATTTACTACGTTCAGCTATGGCTCCTGCTGTTTTGCTGCTAACCAAAATTTAAAAGAATGCACAGAAATCTGACAAATTAAATCATCAACAATTAAAATTAATTGCACAAAGAGGCTAAAACATTTCAAACAGTTGCACCCTCCAAAGATCAAAAGCTTTCCTCCTCCAACAATGGCTCCAAACTGCTCTATCGACAAGAGATGGCATTTAAAAAACACAAATGCAAGACAAAACTTAAAATGTATGCAGACACAGGAAACTGCACAGACTCAGTAGATATTTTAAGCCCAACAGTATACGTGGGTAAAGAAGTAATAAAAAGAAATCAGATAGAGCAAATTAGACAGAAAAGCTTTAAACTTAGGATGAGTATCCACGCCCGGTCTGTACTTGTAAGCACTGAGAATAAAGACGATGTCGACTCACAGACTCACTGTTACGTGGATCCAGTAGTTTGCTGATGCTTTGTGTAACAAAATAAGCACCAATCTCTAGCTTCTACAATAACTTAGACCCATGAAAGACCAACATCTATTTGGTGTGGTGTCCTGATCCCCGTAGTAGATGTGCAGCATGCATTTTGTGGCTGTATTGCTATGCAGTTGTGCGATTCTTCTCAAGTCAAGCTGTGAGTCAAATGAGAGGATGAGACTTACCCATGTTTCTCTGGACTCTCCACTGATAATATTTCACTGCTGCTTTCGTCAATGGGAAGGACACGAGCAATATATTCTCCACTCTGCTGGTAAAACTTATAAACGGCCACTTGAACTATGCATTGGTCACTGCTGCTTCTCAGCCAAGGGCTCAGGATGATGGGGCTCAGCCTCTCTGACGCATTGAGGAACAGGAACAAACCTAGAACAGATGAGGCAACAAGAAAGCTTTAAGAACAAAAAAAACGAAAAAGCCTCACAGAGTGCAGATGAATACTTGTGATTTTTATGCCACAGCTCACTCTGCAGGCCTTCCATACCTCCCAGTCAAAGATTATCTTTGCCAACTAGTTTGGAAAGTTTGCCCATTTTGTATGAAATTCATTAAGATCTTCCTGGGCAAGCAACATTTCAAACTCACCTTTGGATGGTCCAAAACAAAGATTACATTTAGATTTAACTCCCAGAAGAAAATGCACGAAGTGGAAAAAGCCATAAATATTATGGGCAGGGAAAAATAACAAACAGCAATGATAAAACACAATCAACCAAGAGACTTCCAAAGCTAAGCCCAGGCAGGTAATTATGGAGTTTTAGATTCTTGTCTTCATGTGCCTATTCTTCCTGGACTTCACCCTCGTCTCTGCAACTTCTCAGATGTGGTCCAGAGCCAAACGTTATGGCCTTGGTCCAGTGGGATCTTGTGTTGACAGCTCAGATACATATTAATAGTTTATATCTGCTTTTCTCACCCAAATAAAGAGCATAAATTCAATAGCTTTACTTTTGCTCTTCTATAAACAGAAGAGTGCAGCATTTTTAAGTCGAGTCAGGATAAAGGCCTGACATAATTGTCTTTCTTCAGGAATTCATTCTAAGGTATTAATTTTATATGCTGCTAATCCACATTAAACATTTCATTATTATCCAGTACATTGACTCCCTTAGCCTAATTCTATTTCAATACAATCTGAAGCTTATCCAGGGGGACAGAGGTAATGTATTTTCATCACACTGTTGCTCATTTCAGGTAAGTCAAATTACTCCCTTTTGGCAGCTGACCAATTTACCAATTTGTCCACAGAGCAAGCACATCGGGGTGCGTAGCTGGTAAATGAAAGGTGCAGTTAGGTAAATGAAAGGGACCAACCCCTGAAGCAAGAAAAATTGTGATATTCCACAGATTCTAGCAAGACTGGCCAGATAATCAAGACAATGAGATTTCATTTCCTGGAGTGTCCATTAATAAAGCCTGTCCGTTAATACTTAAAACATGTAGATCTGATGAACAGCTTAATTTCATAGAGAGAGAAACTAAGGTTCAACAGGGCTGTAATTTAAACCTCTTTTTAAGCGTGCATGAATTTTAGCAGGAGCAGCAGCTTGGTTTTGAAAATACCAAGGTTAAATCTTCAGAGGAATGATCTTCCACATCACTGAGCACGGCTCAGCTGAGATCCAGGGTGTCTAAGAAATACTGTGGAGGGGCCACGAATGGATCCTGCTTGCCTTCACCTCGGTGTCTAAGCTGTGGACCGCAAGGTGCAAACCAGTTGCTCTGAGCTCCTGTGGTAGCTCACCTCATCCTAAAATGGATCTAGTGAATTGTCCTTTGGTGGTTCCCATTTCTCTCCACTAAACTGAGGGTCAAGAGCTCCGATTTTCTTGTCTCACTGTCAGATGCCAGTTTAGAACATAAAAATTGCACTCGTGTTCACAGATGTCCCCTTTGAAAAAGTCTGATTTGGCAATTCATCTCAGGTCACACACAGAGTAATAATGGAAGGGCTAAAAATGAAACCTGGATGCCTGTCAACCACCCTGTTTCCTTCCCATACACACATTTATCATAAGCAGCATTTTTGACATACTTGTCAAAAACAGTGCTCTTGACATTGGCATCACGTCAATGACGTATCCAAAACTAGAAAACATTTGTCTGAAAGAAACACGCAGAAATACATAAGGTACAGCCTGCTCAGATGTCAGTTTGTAAACAGAGAGGAGTGAAATGTAGTCACAGCATGTTTTTTTTTTTTAATAACAAGATTCCTTTATGTGAAATAATAGCCGTTAATCCAGTTACTAATGGAATGGTTTGATGAGTTTAAACAAACTCTGTTATTGTCACAGTTATATATACACAGTATTTTTGCTGGTCAGTAAAATAAAAACAAAAGCCCAGCCACATGTATCGCCCTTCCCTGTCTCTCCCTTTTGTTGCAAACAAAAGAGAATTAGAGCACTAAATCTTGTGGCTTTAATTGTACCATCCCCATAAGAACACTGAAATCTGTGACACGAAAGGGAGCAAAGAGACTTCTGCTGGTGGCAGAAAGACACTAAGCTTTGCAGTAATTGCTGATGGTAACTTGCCAGGTGCAAGAGCCATTTGTTCATCTTACTGCCTTGCAACAGGGAGTCAGATTTTTAAAGTAACGAACAAAACAAAGGCAGGTCTCATTCCTTCTTTTCTTACAGTGGCTGTAAATAAAGAGATCTTCCAAGGATAGTCCCTCTTATGCCCTGACTTGGGGCCAGGTTTGAAACATCAGTGAAGTCTAGTAGTAGACAAGGCTAGCTGCTACAGCAAATTTGTGAGATAGTCACTAACCTCCTTTGTTTTGGCTTCTATATTTCTACCCTCTATTTACAGGGCTCACACTTTGCAATTGTGGCTTATTAGTCGTCCCACGGCCAGTTCTACCTACTGAATTATATTGCTAAAAGGAAGACAATTTTGCCATGGTGGGGTCTACCCCAGCACACTCTCCCAGGATGCTAGGAGGAACAGCCCCACACTATGCTACTGTGAAGCGGTGCCTAGAAAGTCCCTCTGAAGGACATGGCTATTATGCTGTGTTTGCCTCACCACCACTACATAGCCTTGTCAGAAACGTCCTCCTAGTCCGTGCTTTTGGGGAGATCACCTACCTGGGCAAATACTAGAGCTATGATGGATTACCCTTTTTTATTTTTTTTTTTATTTTTTTTTTATTTTATTTTATTTTTAAAAAAGGAGAGAATAAACATAACTTTGTTCTTGCTTTTGAAAGCCCAGCCATCTCATGGGTGACTTCCCTGTCTGCTGCGGTGTTCTCTTTTTGCTCTCACGGCTCGTCTAGGCTATAAATGCTAAGGAAAGAACTATGAGAGCAGCATTTTGCTCTGGTGTTACTGGAACTGCTTCCAAAGTTGAAGCGAGGGATACTTACTATGAAACCACACAGAAAGCACGGAGGCTTTGCTACACAGCAGAACCTGAAGATTCCTGTTCACGCACTACAAGTTAGATCTGCTTATTACAGAGCAGACAGGTGAGTTCCTATAGTAACCAGGCCTGACACCTATAGCGTACATTAACATCACACATACTCTTTTTCACATAAGCAACAGACTCAAAACACCAATTCAGACAAACCCCATTTCGTTAATTTGCTGTCTCCAAAGCATACGCGACAGATCTGCCAGTCAACTTCATACATACACACACACACAAAGACAACAACCTGCTGACAGAGGCCCAAATCCTCTTTCATTGAAATTGACAGGACTTACGCTACTGAAATCAATGGCGTCAAACCCCACAAAGGAATAATTAACGTGTCTGAAGTGAGAAATGATACACTTTGAACACAAATCCTCATACTCCTCCCTTCTCTCAAAGGCACAATCTCTCAGTCACTGCTTTGCCACTGTTTCATGCGACGGCGTCCCATGGGATCAATATGAGCACCATTTCCCGGACCAGATTAGAGACTGCTACCTAGAAAGAGTTAAAAGATCACATGGAGATTGATTTCCCCGTCCACGCTGAGGGACAGAAGAATATTCTGTTTCACACCAATGGACTTTGTGGGCAAAATTAGAAGCTACGTGTTCACTTGTATTTCCCTCCAGTGGGAGGGAATCCATGTGGCACACTCCGAGATCATTGTGTAGACCCGTTAAGACTTTAAGGCTCCAGCTAAAATTTCCTTGCACTTATTTTCTCCTAATAGCTTGTAGCTCTAATAATACTCTTGGGATCTTCTCGGGTGAACAGCTAGAAAAAGCACTGTAGCTTCAAACAAACTTCTGCTGCTATTTAGAAATCAAGGGATATAAGCTGAGATGAAAGGCCCCTTCACGGTACATGCTGCCAGTGTCATGTTCTACAGCTCAGGACTCTGAAGGGTCTATTCGCTTTTCAGAAAGATGTTCACCAGTGAGATGTTTCGAGACTCTTCCGCTACAGGTTTTAAATTGGACTCTAGCGGCACAGCGCAATGCTGATATTAAAGAGATGCAGTTAAAATAATCACATTGTAACTAGATATACAGCCACAGACCCAGGCACTTAGCACTTCCTGGGTCCTGAGCTCATTCATCATCATCATCACGCAGAACCACGTGGTCGCGGTGGGAACAGCATTCAGTCTTTTACACCAACTACATCTATGTTTGGCATTTTGTGACTGAAACCCTACGAGCTGATATTGCTCTGTGGTGTTTCAGAAACTGCCAGTCTAAATTGCAAATACTTTGTTTTCCACATTCCCTCTAAGCACTCACAAACTCTGGGAGAAACCTACCAATAGTACTCAGCTTTTAATCACATTTTTCCCCCTACATTTTTAATACCTGCAGTCACAAAGCAATGGTCTTCCTGATCCTCATGTGTTGTGTCTGATAACATCTCTGGCAACTTGCTGTCACTTCAGACAAACACACGTGAAAAGATATTTATGCTTAAGCACAGCAGTTGACATAAAAGGAATATTACAAGACAAATTAATATATCCTGCACGAAAAAATTGCTGTTGATCCTTTGGAAGCTTGTTTACAACATTCTAACATTCATGTCACAAAAAGGGAAGGAATGCTTATCAGCAAGATGTTTTTGAGATGATGAAGACGGCTTCAAGTTGCGCTGTTCAGAACTAACAAGGTAACAGAGATATTTGTAAAGAAGAAACCTGATGCTAAGGCACCATGCATGTACAGATACACTACGAATAAAGCACCTGTCCAAAGAAGCTTTCAAATGAAGGCATGTAGACTGGTGAGACTCAAAAGCACACCAGCAATGAAGACCATTCCTGCAATCTTTGGCCCAACATCCTTGTCTGATACAGATGCATAAAACATCTGAAACTCATGCCAGTGAGAATGCTGAGGCAACCCTGAGATGTTCAAAAGACAGAGCCATTGCTTGGCCCT